TGCTACAATAATTTCAGAATCCAACTCAGCTTTACATTTAAAAAAAAAAAAAAGACCATAAAAGAGGGTTGCTCTATTGAGTTGTTGTAGTGTTTGGTTTATTTCGGTTTGGGCCTAGGAGTTAATTAGTTGAGCCCATATGATGTGTAGGTCTATATATATGGACAAGGCCTGTTGTTGTATGATGATTTTTTACATTGAATAAAAGTATAATTCAGCATCCTGCGTGTATCTCTGATAGTTAAGATGGCATCAGAGCACGGGTCAGTCAAGATCCGTTGATACCGGTTCAGAAGGGCCCAGCAACCGGAACCCGTATTCTTCCAAATCCCTCATCCTTGACTGCGATTCAAGAATGAACAGGTAAACCACTGCCGAAGACACCCACGCAATCTTTCAATCACCCTGATTCAAGAATCATCTCGCGATTAGAGTCCCGTGAATTCTGATTTGACGATGACGAGAACGGTGGGAGAAGCGAAAGGCTCCGATGACGGAACAATTGATTTCGGGAGCCCGCTCTACCTCCATCCTTCGGATACGCAAGGCGCGTCGATCATTACTCAGGTGTTGACGGGAAGTGAGAATTACGCGATTTGGAGCAAGGCAATGTTAATTGCACTTCGAGGTAAGAACAAGACCGGCTTCATAGATGGATCGTGCGAAAAGATTGAACAAGATTCGCGTCTCAAGGAACACTGGGAGAGGTGCAACGCCGTGGTGTTCTCTTGGATTTTAAACTCGGTTTCCAAGGATCTTGCGAACAGTCTCATATATCTACAAGATGCACGGACGGCTTGGGAGGACTTGCGAGAGCGATTCGACAAGGTATCTGGGTCAAGGATATTTTCTTTACACCGTGAGATTAATTCCTTACGTCAAGGCAATCTTTCGGTTTCTGCATATTATTCGCGTCTCAAGGAGCTATGGGAAGAACAGAGTAATCTGATAGCAATTCCCTCCTGTACGTGCAATACTTCTAAATTGTATAGTGAAGCTGTGCAAAGGCAAAAAATGTTACAATTTCTGATGGGCCTGAATGAGGTTTATGATAATTCGAGGAGTCAAATACTCCTAATGGAACCCCTTCCGACTGTCAACCAGTCTTATGCGATGATTCTTGAAGTGGAGTCACAGAAGAACATTACAAACATGGAGAGAGGTAACCCCATAGAGGGAATGGCGATGGCAGCTCGAGGCAGAAGAAGGGGAAGAGGAAGGGGTAGAGGAGCCCCTCCACCAGAATGTGAACACTGTGGCAAGAAGGGCCACGTTAAAGAGAATTGCTGGGAAATAGTGGGATTCCCAGCTGACTACAAAGGTTTTAAAGGAAAACAGGGTTCAGAAGCAAAGGGAAGACAGAGTGGAGTGAACCGTGACGCAGAGGCTCTCACAAACGTGTCGACTGTTTCCCCCAGCTTCACACTTGAACAGTACGAACGCCTGCTGGAGCTTCTGAAGAAAGACTCTGCGTCAAGTGCACATGCTCTCAGTGGTACATGTTTGCCCATTCTTGTCTCCTCTGATATAAGTCATAGTAAATGGGTTTTAGATTCAGGAGCTACCACTCACATGGTTAGTGATTTAATGTTACTAGATAATTACAGAATTTATAATGGACCAATTAGAAACATAAAAATTCCGAATGGAGATAGGTTTTCTGTGACCCACATAGGTGATATTAAGTTTCCTAATGGTATTGAATTGAAAGACGTCCTATATGCTGCAGAGCTCCAATTCAATTTGATTTCAGTATCTAGAATCACCAAAGAATTGCTCTGTGTTGTGTCTTTTTACCCTGATAAATGCATGTTGCAGGACCTTCAGGATGGCAGGATGAAGGGGATTGGTAGAGTAGTACATGGACTATATCTATTGGAATTAGAGAAAGATTATGTTTGTGCGAATATTTCTAATGATGTATGTTGTTCTGCTACACATGCTGATCTGTGGCTTTTACATAAACGATTGGGACATGCCCCTGTGAATGTAATGAGACATTTAGATATTGTCAAAGATAAATCAATGCATTTGAATAAAGGATGTGATATTTGTTTTCAGTCCAAACAAACTAAACTGCATTTTCCTTCCAGTTGTATTAAAACTGATAAATGTTTTGATTTATTACACATGGATGTGTGGGGACCTTATAGAGTACCTACACATTCAGGTTTTCAGTATTTTCTCACGGTGGTAGATGATTTCTCAAGGGCTACATGGACCTTTTTAATGAAACATAAATCAGAAACTGTGTATCATGTCAAGGGCTTTCTTGCTTACGTTTTGAATCACTTTGGTGCTTCAGTCAAGAGGGTAAGGAGTGACAATGGAACTGAATTTGTTAATTTTGAACTAAGAGATTTCTTTAGGGAAAAGGGAATCCTACATGAAACTACTTGCCCCTATACACCTGAACAGAACGGTATTGTAGAAAGAAAACATAGAGCACTGATGCAAGTTTCTAGAGGCTTAATAATACAGTCAGGTATTCCGATTCAATATTGGGGGGAATGTGTGAAAATGGCCACCTATCTTATTAACAGAACTCCTAGTAGAGTCTTGCGCTTCCAAACCCCATATGAAATTGTTTATGGACATCAACCTGATTATGAGAACTTGAGAATTTTTGGTTGTTTGGGATATGCTAGTGATCTTATTAATAGAGATAAACTGCAACCTAGATCTATACCCTGCGTTTTCTTAGGCTATCCTGATAATAAAAAGGGTTTTACCTTATTAAGTCTTAAGGACAATAGTCTATTTGTTAGTAGACATGTGAGGTTTCTTGAGGATGTATTTCCTTTTAAAAACAAGAGTGGATGTGATCAAGGGGGAGTATCTGCAGATTTCAAACAAATGTTTTATTTTGATGACCATAATGATACTTCTCTACAAATTCCACAGATTATGAGGGAGCCTCACCAAGAAGAACGTCATAGTGTTGAAAACACTAATAGCCTAAACACAAGTGATCAAGTTTTAGGAAATGAAAACGGAGGTTCATCACAGTTTAGCAAACGTTCCATTAGGGAAAGGAGGCCACCTATTTGGGCCAAAGACTATGTTTGTAATTTGACTCAATCAAAGTCCACAAATAATAAATCTGACTGCAAATATCCCATTGAAAATTATATATCCTATGATAATATTTCTCCATCATACATGTGTTATCTTTGTTCTATTGATTCTGTTATTGAGCCAACTACTTATGATGATGCTGTAACTGACAATAACTGGGTTAATGCTATGAAATCTGAAATTGATGCATTAGAAGAAAATAAGACTTGGGACATAGTTCCTTTACCAAAAGGTAAGAAGCCAATTGGTTGTAAATGGGTTTATAAAGTGAAATATAAACCAGATGGGACTATTGATAAGTATAAGGCTAGATTGGTTGCTAAAGGATATAATCAAACCGAAGGAGTGGATTATAATGAGACTTTTTCACCAGTGGTACAGATGGTCACTGTCAGAATTATTTTAAAACTAGCTACTGTAAACAATTGGTCCTTGTATCAAATGGATGTGAATAACGCTTTCTTGCAGGGAGATCTAGATGAAGAGGTTTACATGACCATACCCCAAGGTTTTAAGAACCAAGGGGGAGATGTGGTGTGCAAATTGAGAAAATCCTTGTATGGGCTTAAACAAGCCTCAAGACAGTGGAACCAAAAGTTATCACTGTCCTTACTTAATGGGGGTTTTCTGCAGAGTAAGTATGATTACTCCCTGTATATGAAACATTATGATGATGGTTTTGTGATTATTTTAGTATATGTGGATGATTTATTAATCACTGGGAATTCTGAACAAAGAATTAGTCAAGTTAAAGAGTTTTTACACGGTCACTTCAGAATTAAGGATTTGGGTGTTATGAAATACTTCTTGGGGATTGAAGTAGCAAGGTCCAAGAAGGGAATTTTGCTGTCACAACGAAAATATATACTGGATCTCCTTGCTGAAACAGGAATGAGTGGTTGTAAGCCACTCACTTTGCCCATGCCACAACATTTAAAGTTAGTGGCATATGAAGAAGGGAGACATCGAAAGGAAGATTTGCTCAATGAACCAGGGAAGTATAGGAGGTTGATTGGAAAATTGATTTACTTGACAATGACAAGGCCTGATATCTCTTTTCCTGTGCAGGTCTTGAGTCAGTTCATGCAGCAGCCAATGAAATCACACTGGGCAGCTGCTGTGGGGGTCCTAAGATATCTCAAACAGTCACCAGGACTTGGGATTAAACTGAGTTCAACACAAGACCTGAACTTAAGCTGCTTCTGTGATTCAGATTGGGGATCGTGCGAGACCACGCGTAGGTCGGTCACTGGTTATCTTCTCAAGTTAGGAGACACTCTCATTATCTGGAAAACCAAGAAGCAGGCAACAGTCTCAAGGTCCTCTGCTGAAGCTGAGTATAGGGCCCTTGGTTCAGCTGTGTCAGAAGTTGTTTGGGTTAGAGGTTTGTTATCTGATTTAAGGATTCCTATAGAAGGTCCAGTTGATGTATATTGTGACAGTCAATCAGCCATCCATATTGCCACAAATCCAGTGTTCCACGAGAGAACAAAACATATAGAGATCGATTGCCACTTTGTTCGTGAGAAAGTGACAGAAGGAATAGTAAAGCTTCAGCATGTTCGTTCTGCTGATCAGGAAGCAGACATATTAACAAAGCCAGTAGGAAAAGAGATTCAATTACGGTTGCTTAGCAAGTTAGGAGCTTCCAATGTATTCAGCCCCAAACTTGAGGGGGAGTATTGAGTTGTTGTAGTGTTTGGTTTATTTCGGTTTGGGCCTAGGAGTTAATTAGTTGAGCCCATCTGATGTGTAGGTCTATATATATGGACAAGGCCTGTTGTTGTATGATGGTTTTTTACATTGAATAAAAGTATAATTCAGCATCCTGCGTGTATCTCTGATAGTTAAGATGCTCTCTCCTATAAAAGCCCTATCATATCTCACAAAACTCCTCACCGATGAAAAGTCAAGTATCACAAAAATCCAAGTGACAGAAACGAGAAGAATGGCTTCCAAGTCGGCCCTTGTCCTCTGTGTCATCAACCTCCTCTTCTTCACGATGGTAACCTCCACCTATGCGCAATCACCATCACCTCCATCCCCAGGAAATCAGCCAAGTTGCCCTATCGACGCCCTTAAGTTAGGCGTCTACGCCAGGGTGTTGGATGTCACCGTCGGCAGGAGGGATTGTTGTACCCTCATTGGGGGCCTCGTCGACGTCGACGCTGCCGCCTGCCTCTGCACGGCCATTAGAGCCAATGTCTTGGGTATCAACCTTAACGTTCCCCTCTCCTTGAGCCTGATTCTCAACAAGTGTGGCCGAAACGTCCCCAGTGGCTTTCAGTGCCCTTAATTCAACAGATATATGCACACACACACACACATATATATATATATATGTATCATCACTATCTCCACTGCACTATGATCATCAAGTTCCATAGTTCTTGATGACAAATAAATCATATCAATAAAAAGTTTATATTGACCTATGATTACCCTTTCTATGAATAAATTTTTTTTTTTACCATTTTTAATTACTAAAGGTATTAATGATTACACCAAAGAAGTTGCTTTTTGAATGGTAATTAAATTAACCAGCAGAGCCCAAGAAATTAAACATACAATAAAGGACCAATGTTCTAATTTACGTATAACTGTTATTGAATGAGCAAAGGAGTTTCTCTTTACTGGTAAATAATTATCAATTATTAATATTAATACTCAAATATAAAATGTACAAGAAGAAGTGCCAAATACCAACAGGGTTTCTCCAGGTCTTTCGGTCTACGATATTTTTTAATCAAGCAAAATTTTCATCGATTCTATTTTGCTGCGGTAACCTCCACCTATGCGCAATCATCATCACAACCACCATCTTCTCTTCCACAGGAAATCAGCCAAGTTGCTCTATGAATGCCATTAAGTTAGGTGTCTGCGCCGATGTGTAGGGTCTCGTCGCCAGCAGTCGAAGACCCATTGCTGTTCCCTCATTGGGGGCCTCGTCGACCTCGATGCCGCCATCTGCCTCTGCACGGCCATTAGAGCCAACGTCTTAGGTATCAACCTTAATTTGCACAAAAGGTTCTGAACATGAAGTGCTAAAAAAAAACGTAGATGAATATCAAACAAAATTTATCACCAGAATAATGAATAAAATAAAAGTATATTTATAAATAATGTTACGAAAGATATGAATCTTTTCAAAAAAAAAAAAAATCTTATTGCGCAAACCAACTTCCACATTTTCGAAGGTAGTAATATTTTATGCTCTCCTCAAAGTTCAAGACTTCAAGTAAATTACTAATGTAAGAATGCAGAAATAAACTGATTTTAAATATTTAAAAAAATAAAAAAAGAAATAGGCTCTCTTTTTTTGCTTCACCTGGAATCGTCTTGAAAAGCATGCGGCAAGTTTTAAGATATAACTTATATTTTGATAACAAAATGTGATTAATATTAGGATAAAAATAGTATACCAACTTGGCCTTCTGACCTAGTGTCATCAGTTAACAAAAACAGTTGTATTTATAAACATGAAAGTAAGCCTGTAATCCTGAGTAGACACTTAAAAGAATAGGAAGTTAAACCCAAATTTAAAATACCATGTTTCTAATGGCTAGAATAAATCACGATAGTTGGTTTAAGCTCAAAGTATTCACAAACTACTTTGAATTTAAGACCAATCTCTGTTAAGCTAAAAATGTTAAGTTTAAAGCTTTTCTAATAAGTACGCATCTTGGGATTCAAAGTTTCGTTCTCCCTTTTATGAGATTGCTTATCATTTTAACCAACAATTTGCTAGTAAATCTACATTTGTTATGATAAGATTTTGAATGTGAAATACACACACACATATTTCCGTGTTGCACCTCTCTATCAAGTATAAATGTTATGGCACCACAGTTTTGCATTTTGTAAAATAAAATCTAAGGTATTCGAACATTCAAATAATCTTAACCGTACATTTTATTACAAAAAAATATCCACATAATATACGGGCAAAACTTATTCAATTGTATCACATTGTTAGGCAAATTACATTAAAGATGTAGGAAAAAAAGAGCATGCATTAAACATTAGCGTTACTACTATAATAATTTCAGAAGTCAACTCATTTAAGCTTTGCATTTAAGAAAATCCCAATTATTTGATTAAAAAAAAAACATAAAAGAGTGATGCTCTCCTATAAAAGCTCATGTTATGCTTTTTATAAGAGTAAGACCACTTACTATCTTAACCGATAAATTGTTAGTAAACTTACTTTTATTATGATAAGATTTTGAATGTGTAAGACCACTTACTATCGCGGAATTCTTGTTGCAAATTACTAAATTTGAATTATTTATTCACTCATAAAATTTAGAAAGATTTACAACTCAAATTTGACTATTTACAATAAGAGTTTAGTTATTTGCAACACAAATTTAATGATTTCAACTCAAATAAAATAAAGATATTTTTGTCCTCTCACACCTAAAATTTTAGTCAAGAAGTGCACTGAAATTTCAAAATTTTTAAGAGGCTGACTGATATTAACTGGGTACTGAAGTGTTTATTAACACTCTCCCTTTATTTTTACGTAACTAATGATTAATGTGATATTGTTGACTCCTTAATTACTTATTTGGTTCAGTTTTATCTTTATTGTCATATTTGGCTTTCTTCTTTCTTTCTTTCTTTTTTTTTTAAATTCAACTCAACTTAATATGTCCGTGGGTAATTAGAATTAGAAGAATTTCATTTTCTTTTAAAGAGTGAGATGGAGTTGCATTTTTTTTTTTGGTCATAGCTCACAATCATGTGATTTAATGTTTTGTCATAGCTCACAATAATCATGCCCTTTATGTACACTTAAAACTCACACCTACTAAAAAAATGTTTGGTGTTATTTGAACTATAACGCCCGAGTTAGTTTTTAAATTTTGGTGCTTCTGTATTTTTTTTTCCAAGAAGATATTATCTCAATTTGGATGGTGATTTTTAAAAATAGGAGGAAAAAGAGCACATTCTATGCTCACTAAAAATATGAGCATGAAGTGCTCATTTTAATCCAGATAATTCACATTGATGTCAATTGGTACAAATTCAGTTTGATCACATGGTGCTGATGACTATAAGTAGTAAATATGAAAAATAGTGCCAAATTAGAAAGGAGCACTTGACGACTTAATTAAATAAAGGTGCCAAAGATATTCCTAAGCCTTATTCTGGGCTTATCAGAAGTACTCTTAATTATTGAAAGAATGCTCAGTCAGAGAGGGCCGGTTATTATCCGCCATGTTCAATTTTTTTTTTCAAGTTGTATTCTGGTTCTTGTTTCTTCCACCTAGGATAATTGATGTGTAACTAAAAATATAGTAATTTAATTACTACTAGTTTAATCGCGATTCCCACATTGACTCACCAAATAATTCATAAACCAATGTCTCATCCAACTCGGATAATTTCGTTAAAAAGTAATTGGACGCATTAGAAAGGCCGGCCTATTACAAAGAACCCATTTGAGCAAAGCCCAAATAGATCAAGGGAAAAAGGCGGCCTCATAGGAAAATAAAAACAGACACTGAAAACAAAAATGAACACCAACTAGCCTATCTATGGCAATAGAGACTGAGTTTAGCAGAACAGGCTAGTCTCTCATAATATAGGGAACCAAGATTCAAATTCCTGCTGAAAAAAAATATCCACATTTAGTACTCGACAGTGCTTTGAATAGGATTACCTTTAATAAGAAGGTACTTATACTTTAGTAAAAGAAAAAAAAAAACAATTGAAAACAAAAGCAAACACAAAATAGCCCATCTATTGCAAAAAAAAAAAAAAGAACTGGCCCATCTTCGATGGCCATCCAACAACAGACACAAAATAGAGACAAGCAACCAACAGGGATTGGGTCTAGTAGAAAAAAACTAGTACCTTGCAATATGAAAAATCAAGGTTTGAATTCATATTGGGAAAAGTACTCACATTTAGTGCCCAACAGTATTTCGAATAAGATTGTCCTTGATAAAAGGATAAACATAGTAAAAAAAAATAAAAACAGAGACAAGCACAATGTTAAGTGTGGCGAAACCAATTTGAGCTTGAATTGAGAAGTTGATTTAGGCTGTGTTTGGGTGACACCCCAAACCATGGTTTGAGGACCCAAACCATGGTTTGGGGAATAAATCACCCAAACACCCACCAAAAACCAAAACCATGGTTTTGGAAAAAGCAAAAAATTTTTGCTTTTGGAGAAAAAAGGGAAAGTGTGAGAGCCTATAGGATATGTATCTTGTTATTTTTTTTATAAACATATTTTTTATAAACATATTTAATCTTATATTTTACAAATATATATACATATTAATTATTTATTAATTATATTATCTTATGTATTATTAATTATGTTAATAAAAAATATATTATTAACAATTTTATTCCTTCAAATTAAAATATATCATAAAATCTATTTTTTCTATAATTATTATATTAACTTATATCTTTTTTTAGTAATTTGTATATATAAAAAGTGCTTCTGATAACAACTATCCAAACACTCTCACTTTTCAAAATCACTTTTTCATAAAATCTATTCTTTCTCGAATCTATTCTTCTCAGAATCTATTCTCCAGAATCACTTTTTCAAACCACGGTTTGGTTTCATCCAAACACACCCTTAATCCTGGCTCCTGAAAACTGAAACGGAAACAACTTCTCCGAAAGGGCTCTCATGAGCTTGAACAAAGTCCTTGCCAAGGGACGGAGGCTGCAGCCAACACTGCAGAGAAACGCCAAGAAGCCAGAGAGGAAGGACAGAGAGTCTGCTGCCACAAGAAATGATTTAGGACCATTAAAATATCCGGCAATTCCTTGCAGCAAACCCAACCCCATTGAGCAATAAATGCTGCGGCCTACGCCCAGACAATTAATATTCCTCTTTCTGTTTCTGATCTAAACGTAAGACTTAATTTTATACTCAAGTAGGAATAATGGCGAGACTTTTTTGCCGGACTGCAGTCTGCAGATAAAAATCATTAAAAGCAGTTAATGGAATAATGGAGCCCCAAGTCACTTTGACACAAACCCCATTTGCATGAATCAAGCAGGATTCATCAAACTCTGGAAAAACACCCAAGAGATCTTCCAGCTTCCTCACCACTTCCTCAGTGTAATAATCCAAAGGGATGCCATAAAAGCGAACCCATGCTTTAATGGCAGGGAAGGAAGAGTCTTTAACATTTACCTCATGCTGCCATTCATAAACTGCAAGAAAACTCGAAAGTCTCTCCATTTTGACTCAAAATCAAAGGGCAGAGGAAGGAGGTGGGGTTTCGTAAACGAGATTGTGGCAAATCCCTGTCCCCTTCTTCTCTAGCACTATAGATGATTCTTTTTGTGATCACAATTTGTTATTGAAGTGTTGCATTGTGGTTTGTGTCTGCTAGCTGATCAAAGAAGTGCTTTTAAAATATAGTCTAATTTACCATTTTACTCTTACATATTAGTT